ATCACACCCACCCCTAATATATATCAGAAAATTCTGCACACAGTTGCAGGAGATTCCTAGACTCTCTAAAATCTATGAGACAAATCCTAGATCAAGAAACTTGGTCAATAAATTGCATTCACAGTGGCTTCCATATTATGTCCTGATCAAGAAAAAGAGGAGTATAGTGACAGAAAAAAAAAAACAAAAAAAAAACCTACTTAATTATAAATAAGAAAATGTATAAAATACAGAAGGAACAAGATCAACTATTGTATATGGAATTAAGAGTTTTGGGTAAAAAAATGGAACTTACGGAGAACCTAAAGAAGGGGAAAGGGTCTTACTACCTACAAATACACACAAAACAGAACATCAAACTATATAGAAAAAATATAAAGACATAATTAAGATTGGATAAATTCACAAAACTGATGGGAAAAAAAGTGATATGACAAAACAACCTATTTCCTATTGCTGTTTCCAAAGCAAGTGTTAATAGACAAAACATGTTTCAGCAAGTAGTGTTTCTCTCAACTCTTCTCAGCTGTGATTAAAATGCAATATTACTTAAAATGTGGTTTACTTTGCCCACTATTGTACAGATTTAAACATTAGCTGACTGATTAAAAGTGGTAAGGAAGCATAATATATTCATAGCATCTAAATTTACTTGAAAATTTGGGTATGCTCAGTATGTCCTACACTTTTAATCCAGACACGTAACTTGAGCCCTTGTTTTGTTTGTAATTAACCACAGCAAAAGAGATTTTAGAAAACTAGACTCTAAAAAACAAAAAACAACAACAAAAAAAACCTCGTCGCCATCAGTAGAGAACAGAATTCATGTCAATATTATCACAAAGAACCAAGCAGATCCTTGGTAGACATGTGGAAAGTACTTTTCTGACTGGAAGATCTGAAAGAGTGATATGGGGCCATCATTTCCTCCTCCCTTCTGAGGGAGCAGCACTCCTTAGCACTAGAATTACTGTTCAAAGCTTCAGGTTGTCTGGGAAGCCAAATGTGTTAAAAGGAAGGGATTCTGATGGTGCTCATCATGTGTGGCTAAAGTTCCAAGGTTCTGTGTGCGAGAGGTCCCCTCATTTTTGAAGTTACACACCACACATTAAAGGCTTGAATGACAACCTGAATGAGGTGGCCACTGGGTGTGTGCATATTTGGAAATGTTGGTTATCTGTGGTCATGAGTCCCTTCAAATGTGTCACTCTAAAAATGACTTTCTCCTAATGAGACATAAAATCATGCGGTTTTAATGTTTTAATGCTTTGGTCTAGAACTCCTGTGGTCATATTATCATGACAATAAGCTTTAGAAATCCACTCATCTTTCTTACATACTAACAAACATAACATCACTTAACCAAATAATATGGACAGTGCTAGAAAGTAAGAATGCTTAGTACAACCTGCTAAGACAATCCCTCAACTGTAGTGTCATAAGAAATGTGAGTTGAAACTTGAATGATCCATTGAAACAGATTTTATCGGTTAAAATAAAGATTATACAAGCTGCCGTTAGTGAAAATTTTATCATAATATGTAATTTATGATGTCAGTCTCTTTTCTTGACTGTGCAAAGCTAATAAAGAAACGTTAGCTACTGGGACAACCTTGAAACAGACTGCAGGAGTGTTATCTACAGCATGACTGTTATGACCAAATCCTGCCACCAGACATGTTCCTAGAATGAAACAAAGGGAATTCATACATTTTGTAATAGGACTGCTTGTTTCATCACTTTTGAGATTAGAAAGTTCTTTATATACTTTAGATACAAGTCTCTTGTTGGGTATATGATTTGCAAATATTTTTGGCTTGTCTCTGATATGTATTTTCATCCCTTTTTTTCTTCTCTTTTTTTGGAGAGGGAGGGAGTGGGGGAGTGGGGGAGGGACAGACAATGGAGGAGAGAGAATCTAAGGTAGGATCCATGCCCAATGAAGAGTCCAACACAGGGCTCGAACTCATGACCGCAAGATCATGACCTAAGCCAAAATCAAGAGTTGGACATTTAACTAAGCCACCAAGGCGCCCCTGTGTTTCCATATTTCCACCCTCTTAACAAGATCTTTCACAGAATAAAATTTTTAATTTTGAAAAAGGCCAGTGTATTATTTTTTTTGGTGGAATGTACTTTTGATGTATTGTCTAAGAGCTCTTCACCTAACTGTAAGTCATTAAGGCTTTTCTTCTACAAGTTTTAGTTTTATATTTTACATTCATATTTTACACTCATATATTATGACCCATTTTGAATTAATTTCTGTATAAGGTGTGCAATTTAAGTTGAGGTCTGTTCTTTTTTGCAAATTATATACTGTATACTGTAAAAACTATCCTTCCTCCATTGAATTGCTTTTGTATGTGTCAAAAATCAGTTTGTCTTACCTGTCTTTTAATGGATTCTATTTTAGTGATCTGTGTCTACCTCTTCTCTAATACCACACCCTCTTGATTACTGCAGCTATAAATTAAATCTTAAAACTAAGTTTTGTGATTCCTCCACCCTTTATTCTTTATTTTCAGTATTGTTTTAGCTATTCTAGTTCCTTTACCTTTTCATATAAATTTTAGAATTAGCTTTTCTATTTCTACAGGAAAAAAATCTGCTGGGATTTTGCTTAAGTTTTGCACCCAAGGTGAGTGCTTCGTTTCTCTCACCCTACAGCTTACACATGCGGCACAAACGAGGCACACACTTCATGCTGGATCGAAGAAGGGCAGTATGGGTCACAAGGTGGTGAGGGATGGGTGAGAGAAATACACAGGAGGCAGAAGGAGTTGTTAAGAAGGAAGCAGATCAAACACTTGGGGTTTGAGGTACATGAGGTGGATTTGTGTCTGTCAGTCATTTAGCTATAGAACAGGCATCCCTGGTGCACCCAGCAGACAAGAGTGAGCCACTGTCACAGAATGTCTTAACTCCCAGGTGTGTTCTCTATAGACTTGGCTGAGGTCTCAACATGGCAGAAAAAAGGACACACTGCAGAGGGGTGGGTAGGTGTCAGTGCCACCCGCCTTCTCACCTTCCCCAAGCCTCCTCCCTCCTGCACTGCCAGGCAACACCTCCCAGCTCCCTACACTGCACCTGACCACAGGGATGAGATCTTGTGGCCCTTGGTGGCTTCTTGTGGTTCAGGCCGGGTAGACAAGACCCAGAGATCTCCCTGCTTGGGTCAGTATGTCAACTGGAAAGCATCTGGTCAGCCTTTGAGAATGACTTAGTGGATACCTATGCAACTACACACATTAGTAAACCCTGAAATAGAAATAAAGGATAGCCCATCTTGTCTTATTACCACATATAAATGTATCAAATTAGTATGTGTACTTATTAAATTTACACAATTTAAATGTCAGACTTTGTGTTTCAATAAAAAAAAAAAAAGCCACTCCCCATTCTTGTGGAAAGACAAATCACACAATCATTTGTGACAAGCATAAACACAAGTGTGATGTGTGATGTATTTGGAAATCAATGAGGTCTGAGATGGGAGAAGCAGCAGGTGGAATGTGAGGGGTCTCCTGAAACTGCCTGGGAAATTCAAGTTTGAGCAAGGCAGAGTTCATTGCTGCTGGAGGAGGAAAGGACCAGACAAAACACCGATCTGCTATACTGTGGAAAGGACCATGGTTTTGGTCTTATGGGAAATTGAAAGCCAAAGAATTCTCATTTTCCAAGATCCTAAACATAACCTAACACTAGGCTATATTCAAAGAGCAAATTAATTCACATTTACTAATGCTGCCAACAGCAGTTCCTCCAATAAAATTTGAGAAAGCTAATAAGCTTCATTTTAGACAGATTTTATTATTTTTCTCCTATGGAAATTATGAAACAAGAGTTAAGGACACTACCAAGAAACAAACTTTTGAGAGAGAGAAAGAGCGAGCGCACGAGGAAGGGACAGAGAGGGAGATACAGAATCTGAATCAGGCTCCAGGCTGAGCTGTCAGCAGAGTCTGACCTGGGGCTCAAACCATAAACTGTGAGATCCATGACCTGAGCTGAAGTTGGCTGCTTAACAGACTGCACCATGCTGCAAGAAAAAAACTCCAAAAACTCTTAACTACTGAAAACAAACTAATGGTTACCACAGGAAGTAGGGGGTAGAATAGGTGAAGTGATAGGGATTAAGGAGTCCATTTGTGAGGAGCACCAGGTAATGTATGGAAGTGTTGAATCATTAGACTGTACACCTGAAATTAAGAGAACACTGTATGTTAACTATACCGGAATAAAAATCCGAAAGAATGGACAAAAAAGTCCCACGTACCCAATACCCAGCTTCAATTATCAAGCTACAATCCTTCTAGATCATTTCTAACTGATCACTTCTACTTTGTGCCATGAAATAAACCTCAAGGTCAAACTATCAGTTACTGACAGTCAGTACAAAGAACACTGAGGTTAATCATTCTATAGTTCAACATTCTTGCTTTTTTCTTTTGATTTTTACAATTATTTTTAGAGAAAATCTTAAGCAGGCTCCATGCTCAGTGTGGAGGTTGATGCAATGTAGGGCTCGATCCCATGACCTGAGCTGAAATCAAGAGTCAGATGCTCAACTGAGCCACCCAGGAGCCCCAAACAAGTTTTTCTTCTGTCTCAATTTGCCAGGCATACACTTCCACTCAATCATCTAGTGCGTTTCTTGCTGTCATAAACAGAATTACAACACGGATTGTGAACCTTTAGATACTCAAACACCAGAGCAGGGAGCAACTTTAGGGCGTTTATCATACTGGGTCCCCAGGGAGATGGATCTCAGAAAGTACACTGCTAGGGTTTCCCAACATGATTCCTGCTTTAAGTGCAGTTAGTTTTTGAAGCCCTCTCTCTATACAGGAAAACTGTAGATTTATTCCATAGAGAGTAGAAAAAACTATGAATCCCATTTACTGTAGAGAATCCTGAATTAATGGTATTCCCATTCTCCTTAAATGGAAAGGTATACACTGCATCTCTGTACTAAAGAAAATAAGACACAAAACATATTTTTGGTATATGAAAATTTATTGTCACGTTTTCATCATCAAAACTTAAGATCTTGGTCTTTCCTTCTTGCCTTTGTATAAGGCCAAAAGAGAGACATTGGCTACTTTGACGACCTTAAAGCGAACTCCAGGAATGTCACCAACAGCATGACCTTTGCGACCAAATCCAGCAACCAGAACCTCATCGTTTTCCTGGAATAAAATCAACAGTTTACTTCTGGTGTGAGTGGCAATCACTAAAAATACCCGTTCTTCATATAAAAAAACCGGGCAAAACCATCTCAGCAACAGAAGCAACCGCAGACTAAAACACTTACCTCAATAAAATTCAAACAACCATCATTGGGTACAAAGGCGGTGATTTTCTTGCCATTCTTGATCAGCTGGACCCTGACACACTTCCTGATGGCAGAATTTGGCTGTTTGGCTTCAACCCCTCTAAAATATAAAGAGCACAGCAGTGAGGTGCCTTTCTGAGAAGGCATACATTTTAGTTTGTTAGGCAGAGAATTCATTAGACATTATGCTCTTTCCACCTAGTCGGTCTAATCCTATATTGGTTAACTCCTCTGATTTCAACCAAGCTTTCCCTCAGGGAAAATCTCTGGGCCCTTACCAGTTGTAAAAAATATGAATCAAAAATAAGAGATACAAAGACTACTGACTGGCAGTGCATTGATTAGTGCCTTAAAAATTATCATTTTGTAAAGTCAACCTTCATGCAGCTCAACCTCAGATTTGCAACCTCAGGCAAGAAACTTCTCTTTACCTTAATTGTCCCAACTAGAAAGATGTGATTGCTAAGAATAAAATGGTTGAGTGGCAATTTCTTAAGACAGCTCGTCCCTTGTTACTACCCACCCCCCTCCAATGCCATCCCTAAGAGATTCAAAACCCTTAGTTACCTAACCCCTAAGCCCTAAGTTACCAACTTCCAGACAAATATTCTACCCAAACACTTTAGAATTTATATCTAAAATTAACAACTTCAGATGTATTTGGTTCGCGTTACCATAGTAAAAGAAACCTTGAGGAAAAAGTGTGGACTTTCACTTACACTTTTTCCAGCACAATTCCTTTCGCATGGGAAGCGCCTCCAAAAGGGTTGGCCTTCAGGGCTGTGCCCAAATGGGCTTTCTTATACTGTTTATCATGCCACTTCTGATCTCGTCGGTGGCTACGGAGCTTCCTGGCAGTACGAAGACCACGACACTTGCCTAAAATTCAAAATCCTATGAGTTCTTCCGCAAGCACTCCAGTCATTTTACATCTTCTAAAACCCTAGCCTCACCTGGACTACAAGCCAATAGGCTCTTTCATTACAATGTAGCACATGGTCTAAACCTCAACCTCAAAGGATCCCTCGGAGCAACAAAGGGTGAACACAAGTACTCCGATTGGTGCGTTTTCCCAAAGGAATGAGCCCCTTGTCAAGTTCCAGAGCGGCACCGGCTACCCAACGCCGGTCGTAAGGCGAGCTCCGTGGGCTCCGCGCCGCATGGGCTCCTTCCGCACCCGACCATGTGCGTGCCACAGCAGCGCTTCCCCGGCCTTCCCCAGCGGGCCTTCCGGTAGCGTCCTCACCGTTCTGTCTGTATTCTCCCGCCCGTCCCCCAGCCCCCGAGTTCAGCTTGCAGGCCCCTCAGCCCAAACCCGGACAGCTCACCCATCCTGCCACCACCACGGGCCCGAGGAAAAGAAGGAAGGCGCACAGGAAGGAGCCACAAGCCACTGCGAACAAGCTCCGCCCAGCCAAGGACCCAAGCAACTGTCTGCGCGGTGCCTGATCCGAAGCTGGCACCCTTTGAAAATGACAAGTTTGCACCACTTTCCAGAATCTGAGTTTTATTCAGTTTGTGGGAAATTTTGAACCACCTAACTTGCATTACTGTTTATTTCGTTTTATGTCAAGGCTGGAGACAGAAGGAAAGTGGACTACCAATCCCAGAACTCTTTGCATGGAGACTCCCTGGAGGCGCCGGCGCTCTTGGCAAACCCAGGAAGGGGCGGGATTTAGTGGAGTTGAGTCGGACTAAAGGGAGGTACCTGGTTTGTGGCTGTTTGTGGTAGAGTGGAGGTCTTAACGCTTGTAGTTTGGAAAGTTAGATCTCTGAGCTTTAAACCCTACTCAAGCAGCATCGTAAATTGGGGAAAAAAAAAAAAAAAAGCAGTGAAGCCATGTATTGTAAAACCGACATTTGGAAGTAGACCAAGCCTTAAAACAAAACCTGTCACTTAACTGATGCCATTTTAGGTGATTCATTTAACTTTTTAAACTTAAGGTTCTCCTGTAGAATGAAATAGATTTGAGAGATCTCTGGGATGTTGGTTCATTAGACAACTATTCTTAAAGTTGTTTTCTTCGTGCCAGGCATTAGTACAGGAGAGTTATCTGTTCTTAAAAAAATTATTTTCTAGGTGCAAGAAGGCAGAAATAATACATAAGTGTATTTAAAGATAAATGGAAAAGTTTTTTTTGCAGTTTATTTTTTTGAGAGAGTTTTTGAGAGAGAGAGGGAGAGATGCGGGAGAGGAGCAGAGGGAGAGAGAGTGAATCCCAACCAGGCTCCGTGCTGTGAGCCGGAAGCCCCCACCACCATCGTGATATTAGGAATCCTTAGATCATTGCCTGAGCCCAAATAGTCAGGTGCTTAAACGACTGAGCCACCCAGGCACTCCTAAGTGGGAAAGTTTTAAATACTGATAAGTGTTCTAGAGGATATAAAGTTCGTCAGGTGGTGGTGACTTGGGGATGGGGGTGGCTACTCTGGAATGGGTTTAAGAAGCCATCTCTGTGGACATTACATGTGAACTGAGATCCTAAAGAAAAGGAACCAGTTAGACAAAGTATATGGGGTGGAGCATTCAGGAAAAGGGGCTCTCAATGAGGAGAATGAGAGGGGGTACTTTTTCAGAACTGAAGAATCAAGGAGGGGGAACTCAGTGAGTGAGGACTAGTGTGGCACTGGATGAGGTCTAAGGTGCACAGGAAATTGTGAAGCCTGTAGATCCTGGTAAAGGCTTTGTTTACTCTTTGTGTGACTGAATGCCATTGAAAAGTTTTGAGCAGGGGAGTAATGATAGGATATTACAGGTTTGATCCTATAAAAATATAGGATCACTTATAAAAAAAACTGTAAGAGATGAATCTGTGAGACCATCTGGGAGGGTGTTATAATAGTCCAGTTGAGACATGTAATGATACCTTGGACTGTCAGTGAAGGTGGTAAAAAGTGTTGGATTTGATACACTGAAGGTTGAGCCGGCGAGATTTGCCGAAGACTGTAGGATGTCAGAGAGGAATTATGATTTTCAACCTGAGCAACTGGGTGATTTGTGGTGTTCTTTATTAAGTGGGATATTTTGGGAGAGGAACAGATTTAGAAGGGGAAATTAAGAGTTCAGTTATCGATGTGTCAGTTTGAGATGCCTTTTGGACCTCTAGGTAGGTATGGGAGGTAGGTAGTTGGATATATGTGGGGGAGTTCAAGGGAATTATCAGTGAGTGAATAGACAGTATTGAAAGCCATAGCCATAAGTATTATCACTTAGGGAATGACTGTAGTTAGAACAGAGAAAGGTTGGAGACCTGAGCCTTGGGCACATTAAAACTTAGGATACAAAAGGGAGGTGAAGCAAAATAGCCTGAAGAGTGGCTGATTCTGTACTCTCATCAAAGCCAAGTTAAGTAGAAGTGAGCAAGTGTGAAAGGAAAGTAAGATGAGGACTGAGAATTGTCATGCATTTGGCAATGTGGAGGATTTTAGTGATTTTGTTAAGTGGGGTTCCCATGGAGTTGCAAAGATGTAAGCCTGATCTGGATTGGAGCCAAGACAATACGGGAAATAAAATAGTGTAGACAGAAGTTATTGACATATTTTTGGAGAGCATATTTCTATAATGTGCAGAGAAAAGGGGTTCTGTCTGAAGGAGGATTTGGAGTGAGGATGAGTTTGTTTAAGATGGCAGACTGTATGACATTTTTGTAGGAGATTGTTCCAATAGAGAAGAAAAATGGATAGTTCATTAGAAAAAGAGAATAACTGTGTGAACAAGTCCTTGGGGAAACTAGAAGGGTCCCCAAGTGGAGGAATTGAACTTAGGAATAATAACAATTTATCTATAGTAATAGAGAAGGCAGACTATAGGGGTACCACTACAAGTAAATTGGAAGATTTGTTGGTGGGAAAATGTGGAACTTCTCTTTTGATTGCTGTTTCCTTAATGAAACCACTAAGGTCATCAGTACAGAGAAAGAGTAGGGAAAAGACATTAGAGGAGAGAGGATAGAGTATGAAATCATCATCTAGAATAACACTACTAGTATTAAATAATACTATGTGCCACATACTGTTTTAGGTGACTTATATTTATTAACTTACTTAATTCTAATAACACTAAAATGTAAACACTTTTATTATACCTGTTATACTGAGGGATAGTGCCTTAGTCTTTTCAGGCTACTATAATGAAATGCTATAGGCTGAGTGACTTATAGAATAACAGAAATTTATTTCTTACAGTTCTGGAGATTGGGAAGTCCAAGATAAAGGTGCTGGCAGATTTGGTATCTAAAGAAATACTATAGACTGAGTGGCTTATAAATGACAGAAATTTATTTCTTACAGTTTTGGAGATTGGGAAATCCAAGATCAAGATGCTGGCAGATTTGATATCTAGTGAGAGCTCATTTCTTGATCCATCCCTTTTTAACATAACCTCAAATAGCAGAAGGGCGAATGTAGCTCTCGGGGCGGGGAGGTCTGTTTTATTTATTTGCATATTTTTCCCAGTTTTATTGAGATATAATTGACATATTGGGGTCCTTTTATAAGGGCCTTAATCTCATTCATGAAGACTCCACCCTTATGACCTAATCAGCTCCCAAACAACCCATCTACTAATAACATCACACTGGGGATTAGGTTTTGTGTTTTCTTCACACTCAATATGGTGACTTAGTAGGTTGAGAGCTGGGTAATAGGACTGGGAGTGTGGTCTAGTCAGGTGAATGTGACAGAGGAAGGGCAAAGGAGTTCAGAGTGTTTGCAAGGCAAGGATCATAGTGAACCATGAGATTGAAGCTGGAAGAGTTAAGAGCTAGGAATAGTCAGAACACTTCTGAAGACCTGGCCCTACCAGATATGAGAATTTTCTATGAAGTTACATAAGATAGTGCAGTTTTAGTACAGAAGTAGATAAATTGACCAATGAACAGAATAGAGAGGCCAGCAAGAGACTCCTATATATAGAATATTATTAAATAACAGAGCTAGATGTCAGATCAATGTATAAAGGAAGGACTGGTGGAGTTGCACAAAAACTGGTTACTTACATTAAATTAGATCACCATGTCAGGCTGAAAACAAAAATCACCCCCAGACAGATTGAGGGCCTACATGTCAACAACAAATTTTTTAATTTCTTCATAGGTAACAAAGGTGAATATCTTCATGAACTACACAGGATAAGAAGAAATGAATGGCTAATTTGACCATATTAAGAAACTGTGCTCCACAAAAACACCTGAAAGAAAGCAAAAAGAAGTTACAAATTGAATTGATATTTACAGGAAGTGTTCATCTAAAGTTGGGATGCTCTGTACCTGAAGGTTTAGTAAAACATGCTGCAAAGCCATCTGGATGTGGTGTTTCCTTTGTGGGAAGATATTAAATACAGACTAAATTGCTTTAATAATTAATGAACCATTCATAGAACTGCAATTTCTTCTTGATTCATATCTGGTAAGTCAGTTTTCTAAGAGTTTGTCTATTTCATCTCAGTTTTAATAATTACTACGTAAAGCTGTTCAGACTTTCTATTACGCATTAACATAAGAATGTTATAAAAATATATGTTGTTGGGAGGTCTTCATTAGGAAGTATAATACTATACGGGTTATTTATTTCTTTTTGAGTGAGTTTTGGTTGTGTACCTTTCAAGGAAAGTGTTCATTTTGTCTTAGTTGTCTAATGTATGGCCATAAAGTTGTTAGTAATATTCCTTTATAATTCTTTTAATATCTGTAGATGCGTAGTGATGTCTCGTCTTCCATTCCTGACACTGGTAGCTGTGTCTTCCCGCTCCATTTTTGGTCAGCTAAAAGTTTTTTAATCTTGTTAATCTGTTCAAAGAACCAGCTTTTGCTTTAACTGATTTTCTGTTTTTAATTTCATTGATTTCTGGCCTTGTCTGTATTGTTTACTTTCTTCTGCTTGCTTTGGATTTAAATTTGCTCTTCTTTTTCCAGTTTTTTCAAAGTGAAAGCTTAGGTTATTGATTTGAGACTTTTGTTCTTTTCTGTGTATTTAATGGTATAAATATCTAAGCACTGCTTGATGCATGCCTTGAGTTTTGATAGGTTACATTCTAGTTTTAATTCAATTCAAAACATTTACTAATTTTGAACAATGGATTATTTAGAATTATGTTTCTTAATTTCCAGATATGTGGAGATTTTCCAAATATCTGTGTTGCTCATTTCTAGTGTAATTCCATTATGGTCTAAGAACTTTAACAAAATTTTTGTTGTAGTTTGCTTTATAGCCCAGAATATAATCACTCTTGGTGAATTTTTCTTATAACCATGAAAAGAAAGTATTTTCTGCTGATGTTGGGAAAAATGTTTTATAAATGTTCATTGGCCCAAAGTGGTTGATAGTGCTGTTCAGGTCTTCTGTGTTCTGTATTCAGGGTGATAATAGTGATGAGAGGTGAGGGCGGATGTGGGAAG